CGCATATCTTGTGCTTGTGCTACACCCACAAATCTTGAGACAGGTATGGAACTTGTGAAATTCATGAACAACACATAAACCAACAACGATGTTGTCGTTCACCATCGCATAGTTGCCTGTACTTGCTTTACCCTATTGCTTTATGCAGACACAGGCATATGCACAGTCACGCAGACATGATTTCATGGTGCTCCCACCAATCACTGACAATACGCTTAAATGGACACTGCCTGGATTGCCACCACCAACTGGCCCCACACCAACTGAGGTGACAGCAACAATTTGACACCTTGAGACAGACAAATCGAAGATGCAATGCACATGAACAGGTCCATTCGCACCCATATAGGGATACCCAAGGCCTCCCCTCTCTTAACATAGTTCCCAAAAACGGGGGAGAAGCTCCTAGCACGCTTTTCAGCTTCAGGGTCATGTGTTGCAACATCCACCCCATCAGAAGATACGGTGACCACTGCTGATGGGCCTGCACATGTAGCACAAACAAAACGAATGAGCCCTTGAGCTAATTTGGGGAAACATGGTGACCATCTCACATGTCTTACCAAAATTAATGGTGCCCCAAAAGCATCAGATTCTAGCCATGTGAAACCCTACAGAAAGTTTTTAAACTCCAGCGCAATACATTCAATACACAGCACTGACCAAGATATGGGGCCCTATGAGGCTAGCTCAAGGCATACACAACACCCTTTGCCATTTGCAGTTTTCCTGTGTTCAACACTTCTTCTCAGCTTGTGAAGTGTGGCTCTATCATTCCCCACCCTTTGAAAGCGATGAGGGTCCTTGGCATCGATTTAAGGGCATAGCAGTGCAGGATCTGTGTTTGAGTTGTGTGCAATGGCAGCTATAGACAAAGCTCAAAAATACAATGGATGTTGACCTGTATCCAATTGGTTGCAACACAGTTTGCATAGTTGTTCAACATGTATTTACAGTGCTTTTGTATAGAATCAAGAATAGACCAAGGATACTCTAAACAGACTGTTGCAATCGGTAGGGACTTGCACATTGCCTTCACTTAAAACGTGTGACTGTGAACAGGATCACTGGGCTCAAGATGTTGGTTCCTATCTGCAAACTACTCCAGAGGTAAGCCAAGAGGCACTTCAAGCCCACTGCATCTCTTGGGCAGAACGATGTGCAATAGCAGCACAGAGGCAGGAAAAGTGGACAGGCAAGAGTGAGAAGCGAGCTCCAAGGCAACAAAAAAGTTGAACGTTATGGACATTCCGTCCAGCATTGGGAGACTGTGCTGACGTTTCCCGTGCCCAAGCTTTGCTGCCCCTGTCACACTGGCTGATAGACCTCACAGCTGCTCATTGACTACCTAACAGTTTCTGACAGGGCCCATGGCCAGGCACCACCTAATAGGTTGGTGTTTTATCACATGTTGGACAAAAACTTTCAATGGGGCTTCATGTGTGATACTGCAACGAATGTAGGCATGGGTAGATGTTGCATGCCAGTTGCCTGCTCTCAACACACTGTTCACCCAACATATCTCGATTACAAGACAATGGCTAAAGAATGGCAATTCAGTGGCACAAAATGGACTTCTTGTGACTGCATTTGCTTAACAAACTGATGCATTCATGTTGTTGATACCCACCGATGTACTCTGCAACGATGAAGCCCTCCTCATTCACTAGGCGCCATGGGTGTGTAGTATAGGTCCCTGGCAGAATGGACAGCAGGGGAAAGTCTACAGTGTGCAATCTGAATTGTCAGCGCACTCAGTCAGCCTTGCGATCACAAGGGGTGCCTGGAGGCTACTTTCCTTCATGGAGACTGCTTGCTATTGTTGCGACCTCAAATAGTAACTGAGTCTTAAGCCCTGAGTGCCAGAGCATAAACTCTATTGCACCAAAGCCAATCCCTATCTGAGGCGGTGGAACGCTGGTCAGTGGGCAGGGGTTGAGGAGTTGCACGGCAAGTATGATCTCGCCTAGCGCCCTCAGCCCAACAGTCCAAGCGTTCCAGGCAACTGGCGCCCTAACCCCATTACCGACATGAGGATCCATCAGAGCGCAGAACCTGCCAAAAATGATGTAGAAGTCACCAGGTGACTCCAACATCTGCATTTAGCGCGTGGAACGAGACTCCCAAACGGTCTCGCTGATGGCGATGCTGGTGGTGGGGTGGCGGGGGTGCTAGTCCAAAACCTATCTCTTTCTACCGCAGCGAATTTTCATTGCACTGCCCGCCATAGGTCCGACATCGGGCAAGCAATGGCATTGACAAGGGCATTGGCCCAGGCGCCCAGCCAACCGCTGTGACCTCGACGGCGCCTGCCCTGGCTCCCCTGCCTGGCTATCCCTGAAAGGGCGCCGTGATCTGCACTGATCTCCGTGGCTATTGGAATCGGCGCCAGCGGGAAAATGGAGTCGACGCCACTCACGCTGCAGCGCCTGCCCGCCGGGCGGGATGTCGTTATAGACGCGGCCCTCGCCCTGGTAGTCCACCCACAGCAATCGCAGAGGTTGGCCGCTCTGGTTGACGAAACGGTGCTCGGCGGCCACCGTCTGCCCTTGCACCCAAGTCGACACCACCATGGTCCGGGAGACAATGGCTGGCTGGTCGCAGGATGGCAACCAATTTCACCGGCTATGTAGTAGTTAATGCACCCCAGACTGCAAACAATTAAGCAGCTCCATCAAACGGATTGTCCACAATGCATCTCAGCACACAATGGCCGCGTGCTTGGGCCAGCACCCCAAGTCAGGACTTGCAGGCACTTGTTCACCTCTCGTTTGGTTGTTCATGTAATCGGTATAGTTTTTCCAACTTACTTCAGCTCAATATCACCACTATTATAGTAACCCTGGCAAATTGCAAACTAGTGTTGTGTTGAGGTTAGCTGATTGAGTGATGACTCAAACCGCCACCCTAGGGTGCTCACAGGAAACGCAAACGCCACACTTCACAGCAGCCCAACGTCAGCCACACGCAGCCTCACAAAGCAGCTCCAGCACGAAGATCAGTTTTACATAATACTGCAGCTCCAAGGTTGGACACAACTTTCCTTGGCAGCGGCGGCATGCAGCACAACCAGTTATTCTTCCTTTATTAGCAGCACGCAGCACACTTTTATATTTGGATCCCAGTATCCCCATCATTACAAACGCCAATACAATAACCCAATCCTGTGCCAACTCAGCATATATTCAAGTGCCAGAGTTGTCCTTGCACTCAGAAACCAGTGTGGGTATGGGAGACTAAGAAACGGACTCTCGACCATCGCGAAAAGCACAAAAATGGGGGAAAAAATAAATAGAAAAGTCCAGCTTTCCAGCACCAATCCACCATTGCACTTTTGCCAGCCTGTTCAGATCATCTGGTCTATTCAGACGGACACGTGCAAGATTTGCAAATTCTTGCAAACCAAAGTGAATATAATAATCATATAACTGTTAATTATCAAAGATTCGGAAATTAAAAGTGACAGAAAGTGCACCAAAAAGATCATGCTAATGCCACAGAGAGGGTTTAAACAGAATATTCAGCGGCAGGGTCTAGGACGGGCACTGTGAGGCCCAATTGTAATGCACCCCAGACTGCACAAACAACTACTGTTAGTTGCTGTCCTTAAGACGTGGCTTCTGCCCTAGGGAGGGAGCAAAAGTCTCTTTCGCTGGACACTTAATTGGATGGCACGCGGTTTTAGTGCTTGGGGCACACAAACTACTATGTTGCAGTAGAGTGCATCAGAGAGCTGCAGCAGACAGCGTGCACTGTAAACAAAACCATGGTACTCACAATACACTATGCATTATCCAGATAAGGGAGGGCCCAGTGTTTGTCTTTTGGTTGATCCTTGCCCGACAGTGTCTGGAACATGAGGTATACTCCGCTATCGTCCGTACTACTGGCGCCCATGATGGTACCGTCATTAGTCATTGTCCTTTGGGCTCCAGACTAACATATGTTCTTGCGCGTGATGCTCGATGTTGTGCGGGTGCTTTTGTGGGTCGGATGTCAATGCCACGGACTTTGTGGCGCTGTGGTCATCGCGGTGGTAGTAAATCTTGCCAGGGTGCTTGTCGTGGAATTCATACTGGTGCCGATATCATTCTCGGAGGTTCTGCCAGGTTGCATGTTGATTTGCAGTTAATGATTTTGGAAAGCTGTCGTGCATCCCGTTCATGATGACTTGAATTGGTTGCATGATTGTTAACTTCGAGCAGGCTTGGTTTTCACGCCGTAGAAACTTGGTGTATTCACGTTTTGACGCGTAAATATAGTTTTTTTTACGTTTTTGTGCATAATAACGCGTAAAAATGCGTAAATACAACGTAAATACAACGTAAATACAACGTAAATGCAACTTAAGTACAGTCCTGTATACATAAGGACAGTACATACAGACTTGGGAATTCCGGGGAGTGGCAGTCAGATGCGCTAGAATGGGCGAAAACGAATTTTGTTCCATGCCTTCTTTGCCCTTGCCGTGGGCGAGATGGGCACTGTGTTACGGGTGATGGAGATGGCGGAGGATAGATTATGGTACGCAACTTCCATCGTGTAACATGGCTGTCCCAACGAGCCATACAAAAGCAAAAATAACTGTAAAAATTTCCCATTTCGCAAATTTGCGTTTTTTCGCGTAATAACGTTAACGTAAATGCAAGAACCAAACCTGCCTTCGAGTGCTGGGCAGTGTTGAAGATTCACAGAGGATAGCTTGTGCGAGCCCTTTTGATTGAATCTCATGCTGCGTGGCGTCGATGAGGTCATCAGGTTGGAACAACCGTGATGTTGATCCACCCTTGGAGAAATGATCCTCATGCATCATCTTGTTGTCCGGCGCCCGCACTAAAACAAAATGCATGAGGATCATTCCAATGGACACCGGGCATCATTCCTTCACGACAAAACCGCCTGCCAACGGCCTTCCCGTCGGCCTCAGCGCAGGATGTGCACATCTCTGCGCTGGGCCCAGTGCGTCGGTAGCCATCCCCGTGCTCCACACGCATTTGCAGTCCGATCGGACGGTCGTCGCGCCTGGGCCTGCAGCTCCGATGGCCGCCCAACAGCTGTGCGCCCAGCACGCGGTGACTCATCAGATGCAGGCCCGCTGTTCTCGTTCGGTTTGGTGGCGGACGTCCAGTACGCAGACAGGGTGAGCTGATGCGAGATCCGCACAGTCGGTGGCTTCCTACTCTAAATTTTCTTCTTGTCTGGAAACTGGTGCTGTTCTGGGCCGATTTGAAGGATGGTGGGGTTGAATGCCGCTGTTGCAATGTGGTGCGCACGGCGATGTCGGGACATTGGCGGTTGGCAATTTCTGGACACGCAAAGAACTGTCGCTTGCTTTTTGCATTTAGACGCGTCGGTTTGAGCTCCTGTGGGTCCTGAGGCGAAACGACGAGCTGCAGTTCGATTGTCGGACGTCTCGGCAACACCGCCTGAGACTGCTCAACTGAACTTGAGAGCAGTATTCCGCACGTGTGGCGTTCCGTTTCCATTGCCTTGCTCACTAGTGCGTTCCTGGGAGCCTCTCCGAGTCCTGAAAATGGCAACCGCGCACACCACCAGTTACCATTACACCCATGCAACAAATTTTGCCCCTGGCCATAGACCACTCTTTGTGCTTATCTGACTTTCCCTGGATATCAACGCACTTTCTCTCGATACCCCAGATTCGAGACATGCCAGTGTTTTGGACCTCCTCGACTCAAATGTGCACCGTGGTGTTCTTTCATAATAGAGGCCTGCATTGGCAGGTGTCCACTCTCCCCCAAGGGCACATGCTGTCCTTGATGAACGTTGTTCATTGTGCCTTTCTTTTCACAGTCTGTTCAGAGAAAACCCCATGGATGTTCACGCTTTTGTTCAGCAAGGGATGCACATTTTGTGACTCATCCCTCCTTACCAGAACTGCTGATGGACAATGGTTGTGTGGCGTACCCCAGGAAAATGGTATGTCAAAGTCAACCGGAAACGTCAAGCAATATCGTGCTACTCCAGGACTACTGGGGGAAGCAGTGGGCAAGTGGCTGCAAAGGGCAGACACACTGGACTTTGTGCTGAACCTTGGGGACACCATCGATGGAAACGAGACCGATGTGAGGGCACTGGGCTGATGGACATGAAGCAAAAGGGACATAGGTTGAGCCACACAACAAGTGCCGCCGATGTGTTTCCTATGATATTATCAAGTATGAGAAGTTGTGTGGACTTATTTATTAACAGTGATAAACAAAGGATTTGCCCATTCCAACAGAGTATCGGACAACCATTTCCACGTGTAAGGCTGATGAAAACACATGGGTTGTGAATGACAGTCCTTGAAGTTGGCTCAGACAATGCAACTCAAAACAAAGCAAAACACAGGAAAGGAACAGCGAAGCAGTTGGGAGGCGGCGAACTTGTGTTGCTTGACCCAATAGCTACAAAATCAATACTGGGCAGTTTGACGATGGGCTTGGCCTTTGCTGTTTGTGGAAAGGCTATTCTGGACGTTATGTGTGCAGAATAGCGCCCAGCATCACCTTTGCAGTTGCATGGGGGGCGTTTTGTGCTTCTTGGACACATGTTTCCAAGGGTATACACTCACTTACATGCACTCCAAGAAGAACTGTGCCCCATGGCCACATTTGTGACCTTGGTGCTAGCATCCAGCAGATTGATGCAATAGCCGTGACTCCCACTGTTAGGGACAGTGAAATAGCAACCCATGCCCTTTTCCACTCAATGTTTTGTCATACGCGCAGTTTTTCTTGGACATAGGATGGTCTCATAAAATAGAATGTGTCAAGGCGATGTTCTTGAAGGCATTGCCATTCATCGTTTAGGATGCTTGAGGTATGTGGCAGGTGCCTGTCTCAGAGACAGACGAGCTTGCTTTAATATTGGAGATGGAATAGCTTTCATTCTCCCGCTTGCATCATCTTTGCAGCATTGGTGCTGTTTTGCCTTGTTCGCATGGTTTCTGTGTGTGTGAAGGTACTGTATTGTGATGCGGTGTGTCTGTTACCTCAGGAGGGTGCCCTGCACGACCTGGAAGTGGTGGCGGAAGTCTTCGACAGACTGGTGGGTTCAACCCGGGACGTGGAGTGCTTTCTGGGTAAATTGCCAATACCCTGCACTACAAGGCAATGATGAGCACTCATGCCATGGTCCCCATGGGGCTGCTTGGGCTCTATTCCACAAGTCATCGATGCATATCCCAGCCATGCTATGTTAGGAAAGAACCAATACTGCAGTGTTTAGAGCTGGTCGACTGGTGCATGTATGAACAATATGAATGTTTGGCACTCTCTTGGCTCCACAGAAGTGGTGGAATGCATCACCCAGAGTAAAGGCAGGCTGCGCAATTTGGTATATGTTCAGTGCAGTGCACAGTATCAGTTCACCTTTTGCAACAATTTGACAACACTTGCTCTGCTGTGCAATGTTTGCTGCTGGATGAATTACCTGTGACTCCCTGTGTGGGTTCCTCAAGTGAGCAACCACGGACAAAAATGTAACAATAGGAAAAGGACAAAATTAAGAATGGTGATCACTTTTTGTTTGAAGGCCAACTCTTCAGAGTCTGTTCCCATGTCAGGGTTCAAACTTGATTCAGAGAAACGAATGGTGTTGGACCTCACAGGAGCTTGGTGTCGGCTGAGCACGTTCCCATGCATCAAAGTTGCCCGATTGGATGCTTTCTCCCAGGCACCTTGGTTTATAAGATAGAAATCCATGGACGACTCTACTGGATCCAGAGTTAACCATTGTTCCTCATTTACGGAGGAGGATTTATGAATTTTGAAGCAAGAACTTCGCCTCTCCTGAGTGCTTCGCAGATTTGGAAGCTGTGGCGTCCCAGAAAGCAGTAGTGTGCTTCACAGGACGTGGAAAATTGGCTGTGCCTTTCACCGATCTCGGGATGTATAATCTTATAAACGGAGTTGTTCGCAAATGTGGAACATCCATTTGCTGTTATGCCTTGGATGGCACATAGCCTTGCAGGTGGAGTATTTTGTGGCACATAATGAAGAGGGATGCAACCAAGTGGGCTAACGCTGACAGGTCATGGGCGCGGACTTTCGGCGAACTGGTGGATTCAGTGTTGCAATCCATGAGTTGATTTTGTGCCAGCTGGGACAGAGACTCTTAATGTCAGTTTGGGATCTTTGTTTGTGAACACCTGCATGCTTTTTTGCATGGGAGTGGCTCACGGTGGGAAGATTTTTCCCTATGTGGTGTTGAGCGTTTTGTTTTCCAACCAGCACATGTCCCCTGTTCAAATGTGACATCATTTTTGCGATCGCTGAGAACATGTGTTTCGTGCACCACGCAGCAAAGCTTCCTTCTGTGAGTGCTTGAAACGATTTATCCTCAATTCTGTTAAATGGGAGGATGGCATTGTCACTGCCGTTTGCGTTTGCCTAGTTGAGAAAATCTATCCATATTGATCTCGAGGGTTTTGGCAGCCTTCACAGAAGTTCTGATAGTCCCCGTTTATATGTGAGCCGCTTTCTGAAGAAGATTTAGCTTAATAATCTAATCTATTCTAATAATCTAATCTAAGACTCATAATATGAGTCTACCTGAAGTATGGAACTGACTTGGGGGAAACACCACGTCATTTGTAAATAAGTGGTATGCATTCGATTTTTGAAGATTGGACTTTAAAGTAGTGCACGAACATATCACTTCTAGCCATTTCGATCATTTTTATACTTTTCGGTTGTTGTGCAAGGCAGTGGACATCATGACAGGGATCACTGCGCATGTGCAGGGGAACATCAAGGCACACCACGTGCTGGGAAATCACTGCTTGGCAGCTCCAAGGGACATGCTGTTGCAGCGGCTAGGAATGCCACACGCATACTACACTGCTGACATTGCGCCTGGCTGGAGGCTGGTCACACTGGACACCACCGAAATGAGTAACAACTCGCGCTATCCGCAGGTGGTTATGCTCTGCACTGCTCTGTTTCATGGACTGATGATCCACAGACATGCCACACATGACTTGATGTTATATTGATCTACAGAGAATCGCCGAACGGCAGGTCATTTCCCCCAGGCAGGGAAAGTGTAAATGGGGTGAAAAATGTTCTTTTTGAGGAAAAGGAAATGGTACAAGGGACAAGCCGGAGAATTAGGCTAATGTGAGAACAACAGAAGTAGGGCTGTGAATTTGGATCCCATTTCTTGTTATTCTGCCTTTTTTACCTTTCTTGTGTGGTGCTGCAAGGCGTACATGGCCCAGTTCTAGTATGTTCATCTCCTTCTAGCTGCTTGCAGCTTTTGGCTTCGTTCGAATGAGTATTCATTTTCGAATTTGACATTCAATGGTCACTTTGCGCACTGCTAAAGAATTTTGAGATTTCCAATGCAGCTCGAAAATCATACAACACTGCGCTGATTCATAAGGAAGAAAAAGGGAACCAATGGGGCCATACGAGCAGGTGCAGCTTGGCATTTATTTTGTAGCTGTAATTCCTCCGTCCCAGAATTAATGGCGATGATGGTTTGCAGCCTTGCAAAACCCACCAAAACATCTCCAACGGCACTCAAATGTGCATCAGACATTGAAATTTGTGTCAATTTTGACGCACCAGTGGTTTACACCAATTGCTTTACGCAGGGAACGCTCTGTCTATTCTAGACGAATTCTAACATCGAGGAGTTGAGCCAAACTAAAAAACTGATTGCAGTGCTGCAGTGCTCCTACCAGCATGTCGAGTCCATAGAGTTTGCTCAGACCCACCCGCCCAACCTATACCCCTACATGACGAGCTATAACGGAGGCATATCGAGCGTCCAGATGCGATGGCTGAGAAGCCAGCTGCAGTCAGCACGAGCCAACAGCGAGCGCGTCGTGATAGCATGCCACCACCCCGTGGGCCAGGGCTCATGTCGCCCCACGCACATGGCGTGGAACTGTGTGGACATCCAAGAGGCCATTGTCTCCAGCGGGGTGGTGCCCTTGGTCTTGAGTGGGCACGACCATCCAGGAGGCTACGCCCGCAACCAAGATACGCATTTTGTGACTCTCCATGGAATGCTGGAAGGTGGGCGAGAATCATTGTTTTGCTGCAGCTGTGCCCATGGCCACTTGTGCAGGCAGTCGTGTTCCTGGCGTTCGTTGGCCTGGCCAATGCATCGTGCGTCACCTATGCAATCTTTCGAGTTAGTAGTCTTTTGCCTACGCCCCGAACTGCGGCAGGCGGACGGTTCATCAGAGTCGTGCTCCCACTTCAGCGTTCCGCCACTTGACAATGGCGAGGTTTGCTGGCTCCAGCGATTGTTGCTTGCCACATTTGTCACCCTGCGAATTCGCCGCAACTCCAGCCGCTGGGCACCCCCCAGTCGCACAGGTGATTGCGGCATGGAAGGCACACCTCCTTTTCAATTTCCTGCATTTCAATGCACAGATGTCACGGAAATGACGAAATCTTAACATGCAGCGGTGTCAATGCGAGCCTAGGCTTGTTTGTGTCAATGCCAGCACCCAGCGGATCCACCGCCTTCGCCGTAGTCAACGTCTTCCCGGACGCCATCGAGTTTGAGGGCTACGGTGTGGTACCTTGTCGGAAGCTTGGCATCCCAAAGGTGGCGGATTGGAGCGCAAGCGCTGCAAGGGTGCAGTAGCCTGTGCGCCTGTTGGTGACGGACTCGCTCTGCTAATGGCGGCTGAGCACAGCTGGTGGCCCTGTGGAAGAACACGCTCATAGCTGCCATCACACGAATGGGTACATGGGCTGCGGGGTCTTGCCCAGAAATTCTGGTCACCCAAGCGTCCATTTTCTCAATTCTTTATTCTTTTTTGGCCTTCCCCGCTAGTTCAGTGAGGAAGAAATGCCGCGGCCAGACTGTGGACGAATTGGGAGTGGAAGACGTTCCGGTGCTGGCGCCTGCTGCCGTGCTGTCTGCTTTTTGTTCAATATCCCTCTGAAGGGATTGGGATTGGGATTGGGTTGAGAACAATGGTTGACAGCAAGCTTTGATCAATCCTGGTAGCCAAGCTGCATCAAGCAGAATCAAGCTGAATCAAGCCTGCTGTCGGACCATTGCTTCTTTTGGTTTGGGCCTACAAGAAAGCATGTGTGCGTTGTTGGGTTTTGCACGCATGTTTGTTGACGCCTTTCATAATCATGCGAATGTATACCCTACAGCCGGCCGGGGGGTGACCGGTTCAAACTTGGCAGGTCACTGCGTGGCTCCGGTCATGGGGATGGCGCGCAGTTGTCTGGTGGCAGCATCTACACGTGGAGTTCTGGGTTCTGCCTTACCGGTCTCCTTCAACCCCCCCCCGTGTTCCCCACACGACAATACATTACACTCACACAGTTTGGTGTCCATCACCTCACTAGTACAAGACCCGATTGGCGACCCACTTAAAATGTGCCCTCGCTTCGCATAGTACTTAATGCCACTCTGATAGTGACTCAACCCAGAGTCAGCTCCCCTTTCCTCGTACTCAACTCCCTCTCCATCCCACAGCTAACCGAACTCACACTATTCGGGTGGGCCGGGCGGGCGCGAAACAAGATAAAGAGGGGCGCCAAGGGTCGCGCCTAAAATAGCCGCTCCCACTTGCCGCCAAACTCCCCGCCAAACCCAAGGGCCAGCTTGACCGGTCCCCTTGGCTGCGCCCAATGTACAAGGATCAACCCCACCGCCCTTGGGTGCGTCGGGCAGCACTGACCCCGAGTACAGGGGTGACAGAAACCGGCTGATGGATGGCCCAAACTGTCCCAAAGGGCGGAACGGCCCGCCCTGGCCGTTGCGCGCCCACCCAATCGTCGTCCTTAGCAGAAACCCATTAACAGGATAGTTAATTCCATTTCTGCCTTACCGGTCTCCTTCAACCCCCCCCCGTGTTCCCCACACGACAATACATTACACTCACACAGTTTGGTGTCCATCACCTCATTAGTACAAGACCCGATTGGCGACCCACTTAAAATGTGCCCACTCACACTGGGGCACGGTGCAGCTCCTCCGGAGCGAAGGCGTGGTCATGCCTTGGTCACTCTCGGGCCGATGACGCCCCGCCCGGGCAGAAGATGTGCCCGTACTGGGCGTGTAAGTCTCGTGCCGTAATCGTCATCCAGCCAAACAGCCGGAAGTCCCACTCGGACGGTAGCCGGTACACGTCAATGTACTTCCACATAACGTTACTGCGCCACTCGCCCCAGGCGCGGATGCGCCCCTCCGGCACCTCCAAGGCGTAGCAGGAGCTCGCGCCCCCCCCGCGTAGGCCGTGATGATCAAAGGGCTCGGGGGGCGGCGATGGAAGGGCCTACTGCAGCAGAGGAAACCAGGCGGAGACCGTCCGTGACGAGGGATCCTGCTCCCCCGGGAGCGTGTAGAAGTGCCGGGAGGAGCCGCCCGCATCTGCCCAGGCCTTGTCCCGGGCGGCCGACCACCGGAGGAACAGATCGATGACGGCGGGGGCGCCCGACGAGGGCCAGGACCGGCACCGGACGCGTTGACACCGAGAGCTTGGTCCGGCGCTCACAGAAAATCAGCAGGCCATTCTCCAGGCGGATGTCGTCGAGGAGAACCAAATGGCCGCTTTGCGCCCGATTGAAGAAAAGAAAATCAAGCGTCGCCGAGCAGGCCGCGCGAAGGAGCCGCAGGTCTTGAGTCTCCAGGCCAAAGTCCAGGACGGCGCGGAGCAGCTCCGTAGGAACGGGCCGATGCGAGTGAGCCGGCTCCGGTTCCTGCCGCCTCCACGCCCGAGTAAGCCTCCGGGTGACGGGGTCGAAGGCGGAGAAGTCCAGGTGCCCCATGGCTTGGTGGACCATGGAGATGGCCGCCAAATACTGGGGAAGACTGCGGATCCCCACCCGCCCTTCCTCCCGCAGAAAGCGGATGTAGTGGTAGATTGAGGAAGGCCGCGCGGGTAGGCTGGCCAAGTCGTTTGCCTCGCAAAACTCAGCAAAGCGGGCAAACTTCTGATGCATCGATCGCCGCGTCGACTCGGTATAAAAGGAAAGAAACTGCACCTGCATCCACGACCGATCGGACGCCGACAGGCCGTCCACATCACACCCAAACAACGGGTGATCGTCCGGCATTACCTCCACCGGGAGGGGGTCGGCGACCGGCGATCCTGAGCGGGAAGAGGGCGGTCCGGCCCCGCAGTCGGAACCCGAGTCCGCGGCAGAATGTGGAAGGCTCGGAGGTTCCACCGGGGGGGAGGCAGGCTGGCCGGGATCGAGGGATCGCCCGGCGTGAACATGCCCGGGCGGCGAGGAATCATCATCTCCGCCGACGCCAAGCGCCGAAGTCGAGGGAACCACATGGCCGACGGCCAGTCCGGAGCCAGGACTACCGTCTCCACCTCCGGGTGGTGGCGCAGGAAGGCCATAAGGCGCGGAAGGACCGACCATGGCGGATTGGCCCAATTGGCCTCCCCCATCCAGTCTTGGAGGAAGGCATCCACCCCCGAAGAATGGGGCTCGTTGTGGCGCGAATTGAAGGCGGGGCAAAGGGAATTCCGATGGGAAGCGAACCGATCGAAGGTCCGGGCCCCAAACCACCGAGTAATGGCCCTGAAGATGGCCGGATGGAGGCGGTAATCCTCGCCCCCCCGAACCCGTGACAGTTGATCCGGGATGGTATTCTCTTTGGACGGGATATACTCCGGGTCGAGGAGCAATTGGCGAGCCGAACAAATCCGCTGCAGTTGGCGGAGCGGACCTCGGAGCTGGTCGGATCCCGTCGCCATGCTGCGGATACAGAACAGGACCACCTGCGAATCCACGAGCAGGCGAAGCCGTGCCGAAATCGAGGGGGAAGCGGGCGGAAAAAAGGCCCGAATGGCCAGCGCCACCGCCTGCAATTCACGCACATTGATGTGCGTCAACGAGCGATCAAAGAAACCCCGCGCCAACCGGGGTTGATCGGCGTGAGGGGGGGTGAAAGTCGCGCCCTAACCCGTCAAGGAAGCGTCCGTAGCCAAGGTACCCGCGTAGGGCACGGCGTCGGGATTGAGGGGGCGACCGTCACAACGATCCAAATGGATCCACGCCTCCAGATCGAGGCATGCTTGGGGGGTCAATCGCACCCGATCCCGCCAAGACCGCTTGGTCTGCAGCACCCCGTAGAGACTCTGAAGGAAAAAACGAGCAAGTGGGAAGGCCAAATAAACCGAAATGGCCAGCCCACAGAAACGGGCCAGATCGCGAGCCACCACCCCGCGCCGGGCCCGAAGGACCCGAGCTTTGGCGGCAATGGTGGCCACCTTGTCCCTTAGCACAAAAAACCGACAAGCGGTGGTGTCGATCACCACCCCGAGATGCCGCTTGACCTGGACGGGGTCCCATTGACACTTTCGATCCTTGAAGCGAATCCCCAAAGCCCCAAAGATCTCCCTAACTAAATGGGACCATTCCCGTAATTTGTGGGGATCGCTCATGGCTGCCAAAAAGTCGTCCAAATAGGCCAAAAGAATGGTGGGGTCATCGACCGTATACCGCACAAAATAGCGGTAGATCGAATCATTCCCCGCGAGCTGGCCAAAATGGAACTTGCGAGCCGCTTTGGCACATGAACCCGGGGAGCGAAGAAAACGAGTCACCATCAACATAAAATGAGTGAAAAAGTAGGGCGCCAAGGAGAGCCCAAAGGGGAGGGCGCGGCAAGCAAAGACCTCCCCGCCCATTCGAAATTGTAAAAAGCATTCATCCTCCAAACGCATTCTTAAGTGATGGTAAGCATCCTTGATGTCAAAACCCACCAAAAAATCCTTCCTCCGCAACAAATGACCAAAATCGCGGAGTTTTTCATACCGCAAGCCCATCTTGCGGAGATGCCGATTAACTCGGCGAAGATCAACACATAAACGATACTTCATAACCCCGTTCTCCCGTCCCTTCTCGACCAGGAAAGCGCGCGAAAAGCGCGAATCGGGACCGGGGGCTACCTTGACAATAGCTCCCGTCTCCAAATACTCCTCGCGGAGGGCCGTCCAGCCCGCCCGCTCCTCCGCCGAACGGATCGGGTATTCCCCTTGGTCGAAGGGCGGGGGAGGACCCTGCGGTCCCCACGGCAGCGGGACGCCCGAATGGATCCATCGGAGCACGTGCGAGGGCGCTCCAATCCTCCGCCATGCCGAGAGGCGTCCGCGGGTGCTAGACGTGGCCGCTCAGCTTTTTTTCTGTTATTTTCTGTCCGTATTTTTTTTCAAGACAAAAAATCCGTCCGTCACTTTTCTGTTGTTTTGCCGGGGCCGGTTTTCTGTTGCCGTTCATGCCACGTCAGCTTCCAGTTTTTTGGCTCTGGAGCTGTCCGTCAAGGGGGTGTTTGCAGCCACCAATTTCTGTAAAGATGTTTTTCCGTTGCCTTTCCTGGCATTCCGTTGCCATCCGTCATGGACTTTGAGATTCTGGAAGCTTGTCGCGAATAGAGGCATATCGAATCGCTGCCAGTACTTGGCTGGAGGCAGCACACACACAGAACACATTATCATGGCGTACTATAAATCATACGTGCTGGCCCTTCCCAGCAGCGATCGCTGCCGGTACTTGGCTGGAGGCAGCACACACACAGAACACATCATCCCGGCATACTATAAATCATAAGTGCGGGCCCTTCCTGGTAGCAATCGCTGCCAGTACTTGGCTGGAGGCAGCATACACACAGAACACATTATCACGGCGTACTATAAATCATAAGTATGGGCCCTTCCCAGCAGCGATCGCTGCCGGTACTTGGCTGGAGGCAGCACACACACAGAACACATCATCACAGCATACTATAAATCATAAGTGCGGGCCCTTCCTGGCAGCGATTGCCATCGATTTTTTATGGAATTCTGTCGACCTTTGTGGTCCGGTTAGCGGTTCTGTTGTGGGTGCCTATCATCCGTAGATGGCGGCGCGAATTCTGTAACACTTGGTTTCATTCTGTAAGGCTGTGTGGATTTCTGTAGTTCTCTATGCTGACGTCAGTATGGCCCTACCCGTTTCTGTAAAACGCTTTTTTTCTCTGTGGCTCCCTCATAAATTCTGTTGATTGTACAGAATTTTAACGGAGCCAAACAAATTCTGTTGGGGACGGACAGATGGGGCCACCTCTAGCGGGTGCGATTATAGGGGAAGTCGGTCACGCTTCCGGAGGTGGACGCGCCGTTGGAGGAGGATTGCGGCGTTTGCCCCACTTCCCCGACGGGCCGTTCGAATGGGCCGGAGGATCGCCGCTCCCCGCCTTGGATGCCCGACTGGCCGCGGCCGCCTTGGTCGCAAGCTTGACCTCCTGGGTGAGGAGCTCCTTGCGGATGGCGCCCAGCATCCCGTCGATGGTCTCGGTGGTGAAGCCGCCTTCGGGTTCGCTGAGGCGGATCTGGGCCTGCGGCGCGCGCCAGGATCCCTCGAGCCCGGTGCCGCGGTGCTTCGCGTGCACTTGATGGAGGCGCAGTTGGTCGACCTGCCGTTCGGTAATGGCCACCGAGGCGTAGATGTACGGCAGGAGAAGATCGCGGATCGAAGGCGGTAGACTCGGATGGGCGACCAGGTCCACGAAGGCCGCCGTGTAGTCGAACTGCCACGCGACCCACGGCGCCCAGCTCGCGTACTCCTGGAAGTAGCCGGAGTTGGGTCCCAAGGCCGCGGCGACGGTCTGGCCCTGGCCGGTCTCCTGTACGTCGAACCACGCCGGAAAAGACGTGAAGTCCGGCCTGGCGACCCGGTTGTTGACTGAGCGGGGGAGTAAGCGGGGGTCGGAAACCCACGTGACCTCAATAGGACGGTCAGGGAGGCGCTGGTTGAAACGAAGCGCCTGAGCCCGCAGCCACTGCTCGGCCGGGCTGGGGTTCATACAGAAAGGACTCGGCGCGAAGGCCGGAAGGTCGAACCACTCTGTGGTTCCGGGTTGTGCCAAAGGTTGGCGCGAAGCGAAACAAGATAAAGGGGGGCGCCAAGGATCGCGCCTAAAATAGCCGCTCCCACTTGCCGCCAAACTCCCCGCCAAACCCAAGGGCCAGCTTGACCGGTCCCCTTGGCTGTGCCCAAGGTACAAGGATCAACCCCACCGCCCTTGGGTGCGTCGGGCAGCACTGACCCCGAGTACAGGGGTGACAGAAACCGGCTGATGGATGGCCCAAACTGTCCCAAAGGGCGGAACGGCCCGCCCTGGCCGTTGCGCGCCCACCCAATCGTCGTCCTTAGCAGAAACCCATTAACAGGATAGTTAATTCCATTTCCGAGATGTTTGGCACGAGCCCCACATGCTCGTGTGGCGAGTGCAACCCGTCACTGTTTCGCTTGCTAGTCTGTCCATACTCCGGTGCGTCCATCTGCCCAACTTGGGTGCACTCGGCACTTGCGTTGTTGTTTGGCTTGCATTCATTTTGTTGCCGTCTTTGGGTGCCTCGCTGGAGCGTGCATTGGGGGTGTATTGGTGGTGCATGGGGCGGAATGTGCCTCGTTGTTTTGTGCGCGTCCCCATGGGAGGAACTCAAAGCACATCCGCTTGGGCTCCCCACTCGTGCGGAACGCTTTTGGGTTAGCGAACGACCCCCTGGGTAATGGCCACTGAGTGCGCCTCACACTTCATCTAATACTGCTGTGCCCTCGATATTTGATGTGCTCAATCTGTTCGTCTACTTTCTTCGGTGTGACCAACTGTCAGTAGAGAGCGAGCAGCGTTGCTTATCAACACACAATGAGCTCGTGGGCCTGCAAGCAGCGTTTCAGGATACTTCGATGATGTGATAATGCTGCCTACCATACAGATATCGTCATACAGGCGGCAGCACTCCAGTACAGTAAACTGTTCCCGGCACATCGCCTCAAGCTGTACTCATGTTTGCAGCCTACAAAGGTCCCAATAAGACTCTGGTGCAAGGGATGAAGCACAACAAGATCGAGGGGTCGGTGGGTCAGGATGGACCAACACGGTAGGCCGTGCACTGTGCCCTTACATAACCAAGACTCCACAACACCGTGGCATCAGCCTCGCCTAAACGACGTTCTGGCTGCCAATGAAATAAGCGGGCCATTCACCAACTGTGCAAGAACCTCATTAACGATATCTCCACGGCAGTGCTGCGGGAGCCATGTAGCCATGGCCCCTCACAACCTCCTCGTCCTCGTTCAGGCTCACAACACCCCACACGAGGGCTTGCAGCCTAACGGCATACACAAATCTCTTTGAGCACGGACATCTGCGCTTCCACCAACACCATTAATGCAGCGAGTAAGGCTGCTGGTGTGAAACTTGCTACAGCACAGATTGACCGTGCCACGAATTCCAACTCTTTTCCTCCTCCTTCGCGCCGCATTAGACCATTCGACGCCCCAAAATCCCACAAAACAAGTCGACCCAGGGGCAGAAGCCCTCACGCTTCCCGCCCTGAGCGCTTGGCCAAAATTCAACCCAAATTCGCCGCCGCCGGAACTCGATTCCCCCGACTCGCAAGTGGGAGCACCACAGTCTGCGACAGAATCTGCAGTGTGTGCCAACAGCAAACCACAGATGCTGTGATCGGCACTTCCATCGCTGCTCACTAGCTATGCATCTTCCAGCTGCAGCTTGCACCTGCCCAGAGACAGCACTCCAACCGCAGCACATTGCAACCGCCACATCACCTGCAGCCCCACCTTCGTACACCATCATCCCAAGTTGCACAAGTCCGTGTTCCCAATGCACCATGCTGTCGGCTCGCGCTTCAGCCAAGAATCCCGACTCAGCCGCCTCAAGGGGGCGTGGTAAGTTCGCCATTTTCCTCACATAGCGTTTCTTGGCTCAGCATTTTAGCCCCCCCTTCCCCCCCTCCCTTCTTCATGCTAGCCTGCTCCAGGTTTGGGGAAAACCGTGCCTACACTATCCAGAAAATCGCCCTGGGCCCCAAAGAATCAAATGCTTCATTCAAAGCGAACCAGGTCTCAAAAGCTACGTCCGTCCCCCCCGTCCCCTCCCAACCCCGCCCATTGTCGCCCTTCCCCAAAGTTACTCCTAACTGCTGAACGGTCCTTCCCAAACGCTGTTGGCCCGTCACCCCAGGCGCCAAGGGCTGGCATTCCTCCCGAAGCTGCGACCTACAATCAAATCGCCACATCCCCAAAGCTGCATCGTCACCGTGGCCTCATTGCCAACTTGGCGTTGGTGGCTGCTGTGGGGCTCATCAAAATGTATCTTGCACGTTCCCCTGTCGCCCTTCCTCCACATCTCTACATGCCCAGTGTCAATGTATCGTTGGGCTCACAAGTCCAGAAGCTGAACTCCACAAGCTTACAAAGCTGTCCCCATGCTACCACCACCAGTAGCAAGCCACAAAAACGAACGTGGCTGGCCTGGCTCCACTGAATGCACTCACAGTGGCATCGCACAAACATTCCACAAATTATTCATTGAGGAGCGGTCCCACCTGCCAAACCCGGCGCCAAGGCAACGCTCCCCAGCTGCCCTGCTCTCTACGCTACACCCACTGCAGCCCCCACTGTGGCCCCTCCGTTTCCGTTCGCCCGATGCTCGATCAAACAAGATCGCTGACCAGATGGATGGCCAATGTCCCTGGAACATAACCCCACCTGAGTCGTGCTTGCAGTAGTGCCCAAGTTCTGGGGCACCGACATGTGATCAAAACACAAAGTTCAGGTGCCCCCTCTTTCCTCGCATCGAAATGTGTGGATGGAGCCCGTTGTCGAAGAGTCCCTCTCATCCACAAGCCCTGAAAGAAAGCAGTGCAGATGCCTGCACATTCAAGACTTCCCATTATTACTCATACAGGGATCCTTCAAACTGGACCGCCCCAAGGTGCCCACACTCCTTGCGCAGGCACCCCCCCCCCTACCCCACCAACCAATAAGTACACATTTGGAAAACTGCCTCAAGCGGCAGATCAGCAAAAGCCCTCCCAGGTACAGAAAAGAAGACCAAACTCTCAATTCTCGCAGGCATCCTCTCGTTCTCCATTGCACACTCATTCTCACAGGGGCCCTTCCCTCTCATGCATTAGTGTTGGAGGTGGGGCGCCGGGCTGTTCACGACCAGTCGTGGACTTCGCAGCTGCAGTGCCTCCCGATGAGTGGCTCAAGCACAATAGAGGCTCTTCTCAATGGTGGGTGGAATTGGCTTGATCTCAGTGCCAAGTTCCTGCTCGATCCTGTAAAGGTTGAACCTGTCATCGTAGGTGATCAGGTTTACTGCAAGCCCAAGGTGCCCAAAGCGCCCTGACCTCCCAACCTGCAGGCAGACCAGGGTGTGAGTGGGTAATCATGAACCAAGAGAATTGCAGAAACATTTGCCCTTACATGTACAATGGAACCCATCAATGGGTGACAGGACAGTGCCTTGAAATGCTCTGACATTCGAATCAACGACACCAGCTTCCTGCCACCACCAGCCCCGATCTGTACATCTGACACCCTAGCAGCAGTAACTTCACTGCATCGGTTCCAGCATGTAAAATTCCCTGGTAGACAGTGCCCACCAGGAGTCCTTAACACTGTGTTCCGCTCACAAAGACAGTGAAGTGATACACTAGTGATATGCCAAGTTCTGAAAATGCCCGAAGGCAACCAACTGCGGACAGGACCACTGGCAGCACAGCGTTGCTGGCTGCAGAACACTCACCCTGTGCAAGTAAGTCTCTGCATTCTTGGGGAAGTCAAAGTTGATGACCACGTTCACGGATTGCACATCGATGCCCCGGGTGAAGAGGTCTGTGAAAATGGGAAAGGGAGGCAAGTGAATGAAGTATGAGGCAAAGGTCAAGGCACACCACCACTGGGGAAGAGCTAGACCAACACTGCTCCAGCTTGTGCAACCATGGAGCTCAAATGCAGCCTAGGATTTGACCAATCTGTCGGATTCATCAACAGCTCAACATATCTAGCACACTTGACAGCCAGTTATGTTTGGGAGCCATGTTCAATTACAAGAAATATGCGCAGAAATTGTTCCTCACTGACTTTTACATGACAGGAATCGATTCCAGTTCTTGACAATGCACAAACGGGTTTGCAGCCAAGTGACAATTGCCCCGCACAGTGCACAGCGATTTCCACCAATTTTTGCACTTTTAAAGGCAAGGGCAACACACCTGAGGATACAAGGTTCCTGCAGGCCCCGTTTCGGAAATCATGGAACACACGGTTCCTGTGGCTCTGCTGCATCTTTGCATGGATGTAGAAGCAAGAGTACCCAAGCTCGGTGATCCTCTTGGCCAGAAGCTCCACCCGGTTGACCGAGTTGCAGAAAATGATCGATTGATTGATTTCAAGCTGCACAACAGAGCGACAGAATATTGAGTCGTGAGCAACCCAGTGCCCTAACTTCTATCATGCAGACCTCTCTCACATGGTGAATGACGCCACTTCTGACCTCAGGTTGAGCTGGTGATGATAGAAAGGAACACATGCAGCCCTACAAATGTTGTGGCAGTATGGGAACATTCTGTGGTGGTGAACATCAGCCCTGAGAAAAGGCAAAGCTAACCTGTAAAACTGCTTTATACTGGATGAGCAGGTCCTTCCAAAGGGTACGTCTGTGGATAATGCGTTGGACGGGGACTAGGGTGCCATTCCACGCTGACAAACAATGAAAAAGAGGATATCAACAGACAAAAGCTGAAAGTCTGGCAACAGGTACAAGGCGCACCCTCCCTCTCCCCCCCTCCCCACCCCACCCCCCACCTGGCGGGAAACTCACCTTGGAGAACAGTGTGTTCAGGCAGTGCACTTTTTGCCTCTCCTCCACAAAGGCGTAAAACTGCAGAACGAAAGACGTTAGAGGGCATGCATGGTGTTTGGAGAGACACGAGCCAACAAAGCCTCAAGTAATACAAAGAAGACAGGCTGGTACAGTTTGCAAAGACCATTGAAACAAAGGGAATTCAGCTGCGATGTTCATACAAACATGCCTGGCAAAATAAAGGGATCATCCACTGTGCATCTGGTTCCCAGGCACAAACTGCTGTGCTCATATTTCCATGCTGCAAGAGCTGCTGGAGGGCCCATCAATTGTGACAAAAATAACTGCATTCACACAACGAACACCATCAGTTGCAAGAACCACCTGCTCTCACCCCCTCCCCCATTTGTGCCCGCCCACCAATGGCACACCCAGTCGCCGGGTCTGGAACCCACCTGAGTAACGCCTTTCAGCGTCAGCTCGTCCATCAAGTTAATCAGGTACGGCTTCTTGAGAAACTTCTCCTTAAACTGCTTGACAGTGACGGGGAACGTCGCCGAGTACAGCAGGATCTGGCGGTCCTCCGGCAGGTAGGATATGAGCTGCTCGAGGACGGGCTGGAACTCGGGCGAAAGGAGCTTGTCGGCCTGCCGCGAACAAAAGCCACAGCAGCGTCAAAGCAGGGCAGGCAGCACGCTCGCGATGCCTCGATTCGGGATGGCTATCCACAGGCAAGAAAACCGGATGACAGCACAAGACAAGAAACACAGTAATGGAAGAACGAGGGCAGACGCTAAGGAGAGACAGGAAGGGTTTCTATCTCTAGCCGAGAAGTTTGGCACGACGGCGGAAGCTGGGCGGTGATCATCAGACTCGCTGCCCCCGCAAGGGACCAAAGCCGGCAGGGCGGGATTCTCGGGGGCAGCGAGCCGGACCCCCACCTCGTCCATCACGAGCATGATGCACTGGTCCAGCTTGGCCACCGATCGGCGCGAGAGGTCCAGGATCCGGCCGGGCGTGGCCACCACGAGGTGCGTGGTGGCGCCCAGGCGCAGGATGTCGTCCCTCAGGTTGGTGCCGCCGGTGGAGACCACCACCTCCACGCCCATGTGCTTGCTCAGCTCCTTGCACACCTGGGAGGTCTGGAGGGCCAGCTCGCGCGTGGGGACCAGAATCATGCCTGGGGGCAGCACAGCGGGGCGGTTCCATCAGCGGGGAGGCGGAGGGGTTCAAAACATGGCAAAGGGACAACACACGGAAGCGCGGGGGTGATGGCGGGCGGGCAGCTTGTTGCGGCCAGCAGGCGGAGTGCTGTGGGGCAGGCGATCTGGAAAGGGGTGAGCCGGGAGATGGTCCAACCTTGGATGCAGTTTTTGGACACGTCGATCCTCTCCAGGACGGGTATGGCGAACGCGGCCGTCTTGCCGGTGCCGTTCTTGGCGCGCGCCAGGATGTCGCGGCCCGTGAGGGCGATGGGTATGCTCTCCTCCTGTATGGGCGACGGCGCCTCGAAGCCCTTCTCGTAAATCCCCATCAGCAGCTCGCGCTTCAGCAGGTAGTCCTCGAAATTGTTCCCCTTGGTGGCGGTCACGTCCTGCGGGGGCCACGCGCACACAAACGCCGGCCCGTCGGCTCATCGATTCATCCACCTGGCAGCACACCGCCGTCGCGGGCTACTTCAAAGCAGATCCCCACCTCAGTCTTGTAGCGGGTGTCCTTGGGCGGAATCGTCAGCCCCTTTTTCCAGTCCTCGCCGGAGTCCGCGTTGGTGGAGGCCACCTGCTGCGCCATCTTGTCACCGCCGTCGCCGCAAAGTCTCGCTGGAGCGGGCGAGCGGGGGGTCCTGGCAGCCGGTCTCTTGCCTACGGCCGCCCTCGGGCGTGGGTGGCCGGTGTCTTCGTTCGCGCGGCGGAAGAGAGCGTGGATCCCGCTGGCTGGTCGCGCGGGCGCCGTGCGTCGCCGGCTGCTAGACCGTGGAGCTGGCTTGTGCTTTCGGGGCTGGCTACTCCGCGCTGCGGAGCCCGGACGCCAGCCACCCGGTCTTGGATCCTCACCCGCAATGAGTCATGCCGCCGTGGACCCCCCATACAATGCCACACAATCACTGGATGCACCAAATCGGTGACTGCTTGCACCAAATCCCTCCAAAACTAACCTAACCTAAGCCCTAAACCCCCAAAACTAAACCTAAACCTACCCTGACTCTAACCCTAACCCTAAAACTAAACCTAAAACTCACCCTAAAAATAAACATAACCCTAAAACTGAGGTTAGGACATAGTGTGCACGTGATTTGGTGCCGTCAGTAACGTTGTTTCTAGCCTATTGGTGTATTGCAGTAGCCTTTTTGCTCTCAATTTATTGTCAGAGCATTATTTTTTGTTTTATTTTGCTCCACGTTAATTTTTGTCACGAGAGCGTTATTTATTGTTCAGGTCGCCAATTCATGGGGTTTAATAAACCCCATATATGGATAATATCCAAAAAGTTAGTAAATTAATAATATCACTTAGCCGGCGACCCGTGAGGTCTAGATATATTGCAAAGGGTATATCGACAGCCTCAGCACCTTCGCCACACTAATCACCATCAAGCAGGTTAGCGCTCAATGAGGTGGGAAACCCCCAAGTCATCAGTCAGGCGTGCTACATAATTTTTTTAGTTCGTGAGCTCAAGGCACTCAAAACGCATGGAGATGACTTCGATGACAAAGATAGACTATGGCAACTTCATCGTACGCCCAAAGAGACCGCTAAGATATTCTAAGGATGTTGAGCGCAAAGCCAATACATGGCAGCGCATCACACGGAGACACATGAATCAGACACGCCCGGAAAACGCCCTGAAGAACTAAGGAGCACCCAAGTTATCATTGGACGCATGCGTTTGCTTAGGGGCTGCCCGCCGAGCGGTATACCATGGACTGCAGCAAGAATCAGCCAAGAGGGGTTAGGAGGGGTGCGCGGAGGCGCCATGTTGCGGCCTGTCGGCACCCCGGTTTCCGAGGCTCGGGTCGACCGCTTCGGCCGTTGGAGGTCGGCTGGTCTCCACCTTGGACGGTGGGCGTAATCGGGGCAGTCGATTGCGAGGTCGCGCGGTGGGCCCAATGCTCGACGGGGATCGATCCCCGGGCCTGCTGTCGGCGAGAGGTGGCGGTGCAGCGGTTAGGTGGTTCGCTGGCTCGTGGGAGGCCAGAGAGTGGGCCAGAAATGTTACAACGATTCACTGCATGCACGCGCACATATCGCATGTGTTGCGGCCCTGTTGGCAGCCGCTGGTTTCCGGAGTCGTGGGGGTCGCCCTGCCCTGCGGCTCAGCTGTTGGAGATCAGCCGGCGCTCTCCACCTCGGATGGTGGGCGTATCCGGGGCAGTCGCTTCCTTGGTCGCGCGGTGGGCCCAATGCTCGACGGGGATCGATCCCCGGGGCCTGCTGTCGGCGAGAGGTGGCGGCGCAGCGCGGTGGTGGTTCGCTAGCTCGCGGGAGGCAAGAGAGTGGGCCAAAGATGTTACACGGATTCACAGCATGCGCGATGCCCGATCACGGGTCCATCGCGGTCACATCAAGACAAGACAAGTCAATGTGCGCGTCCAGGCACCAAGTCACCATCCACCGTTCACCTACGATCGACCTAATGTCCTCTAATTCCAAGCATCTAACACCCGACCCCCTGGCCCCAAGTACTACGACTACAGGAGGCCATATCTTCGTCAATTCTTAACGGATTTGGGCGTTTAAAAGCTCGTTGGAACCAAGAAGCTCTAAATAACACCCACAAAAGGTCGATATCCCAGATTACGTAATTCCTACTCCAGAAAACGTCAATAACTGCCTTACCCCAAGCAGCCACGTCACAGCATGCTCGATGCCCGATCGCGGGTCCATCGCGGTCACATCAAGACAAGAGGGCCGCAACAGTAGCTTTCGCCCCCGAAAGCACACTATCTCATACTAGTGTCTTCCTCGGGCTTGTCCCTCTTGATTATCTTTTGGAGCTCTCTGGCATAGGTGAAATTTCCAGCCGGTATCCAAGAGGCATCGTCAATACTCCACCCAGTCCATAACACTAAAAACTCCTTGTGCCTCTTGCCACTGGGTCCTGCCCATCTCCATCACAGCAGCTTCTCAACTTCGTACGGTTCACTTAGCTTCTGGCTCAATCTCGGCGTCATTTGACTCCTGCGGGGTTGACCATCTGGACGATCTGAATGGTCGGAGCAAACTGGTGTGAAAGACATTATGAATCCTCCACCCTACTGGTAGCTTCAATTCGTAGGCCACTAATCCCACCTGACGGACCACAGCAAATGGTCCTACGAATCGTCACTTTAGTTTGCGAACAGGTGCATTCTTCAACTGTAGATGCTTTGTACTGAGTAGCACCTGTTCTCCACTATGAAACCTCTGCTCTCTGCGCCGCTAATCGGCCTGACGCTTTTGCCTCTGTTGAGCCTGATGAACTGATTGCATCATCATTTTGAATGTTTTCTTCATCCTGCTGATAAAGATGTTGACACCTTCAATGTTGGTCTGGTCTACATTCTTGATCACGTCCAACGGGGCCACTGGCTCAAAGCCATAGTTCAGATAAAAGGGCGTGTACCCCGTGGACGGCGATGCACTGCTGTTGATCACAAACTCCGCCATGGGCAAGTACCTCTCCCAATGGGTGACTTCCTGACTACCATGGATCGTACACCTAAGAACTTGCTCCACCACCCTGTTGGCTACCTCTGTCTGTCCATCTATCTCGGGGTGGTGAGCGCTGGACATCCTCAGCTTGCTGCCCAAAATTTTCCAGAATTCTTGCCAGAACTTCAACACAAATCGTGGATCTCGGTCACTGACTTTCGATCTTGGGATCCCGTGTAGTCGTCCAATCTATTCTCAGTAGACTCGAGCAGTCTCAGTAGCAGTGATGGTCTGCTGAACGGGTACCAAGTGTACCATCTTGGTAGCTCGGTCTACAAACGTGAGGATCCCATTGTTTTTCCTTTCACCGACTGGTAGACTCATAATGAAGTTGAGGCTGACATCACTCCATTTTTCCTCTGGAAGTTGCAACGGCTGAAAGAGTCCTGCTGGCAATTTGTGGATACTCTTCTCTGATTGGCAAACCTCACATCCCAGCACAAAGTCTCGTACATCCACTGTGTGATCTGGCTAGTAGAAATTCTGCTGTAACTTCTTGAGCATCTTGTGGTAACCAAGATGTCCCACATATGGTACTGTATGTATCTCTGCCATAATCTTCTTGCAGGTGTCCTCCGCATCTGGTACCACCAATCTCCAAGGTTGCCTGTCCTTAGTGTTGTCCTTCAATTTGATTTCAATGAATCCATGGTTCAATCTGTAGTCACGATTCCCGATCCTGGTGATTCGTCTTTGGGCAGATTCCAACTGATTCAAAACTTCTGCCCATCTGTTGTCTTGCTTGTAGCCCTCTTTTATAGAGTTCCTCAAGTCTTCCTACAGAGTAATCTGGGTGCTGGTCACCAATAAAGAATGTAAAGAATTTTGCTCCCCACGCAGCCACCACTGCACCCTCAGGACTGGACTTTTTAAATATTTCATCTAGTTTCTTCTGAATATCGTTTTCCCCACTGTCACCCTCATGGAGGTGAAGACGCTGAACCAATGACTCCTCTTTTGCATACACATCTGCCATGCATCTCAACTACTGCATACTCCTGTGCGTGAGAAAATCTGCAGGGTTGTCCTTTCCTGGTATGTGGACAATATCGCAATCATATCCCTGCAGAACCTGCACCCATTTCCACACCCTTCTGTTCACTGCAGGCTAGTTGGGCAGGTTTTTCAAGGAGTCATGATCTGTTTGGATGACGAAATGGCAGCTGGCCAAATAGTGCCGCCATTTTCCAACAACCCAAGTGATGCCCAGTAGTTCACGCTCGTATGCATTGTACCGGGTCTCGGCCGGGTTGAGCTTTCTACTCTCATAGCAAACGGGTTGCAGCCCGTTGCCAAAGTCCTGTTGTAGTATACCCCCCCACCGAAACGCCTGATGCATCCGTGGTAACCACAAACTCTTGGTCGAAGTCCGGTAACTGCAGAACTGGTGCAGTCACCATGGCTGTCTTCAAACGATTGAATGATTTTTCTGCTTCGCCACTCCAAACAAAGGCCCTGTCCTTCTTCGTCAAGTCCGTCATGGGCGCTGCCAGCTCGCTGAACCACCGTATGAACTTATGATAAAAACTGCACAGCCCTTGAAATGAACGGACGTCAGTAACATTCTCTGGTGTCGGCCAATTCAAAATCGCTTGGACCTTTGACAGTGAAGGCTTGATCCCCTCAGCCCCCACATCAAAGCCCAAGTATTCCACCTCAGTTCTGAAGAAGTCGCATTTCTTCAATCTTCCAAACAACTTCTCTGATCGTAGGCGGGTCAGAACTTCCCTGATGTGTTGTATGTGTTCCTCCTTTGTCCTACTATAGATTAGTATATCGTCCAAGAACACTAGCACAAACTGGTCCAAGCCTTCCCTCAAAATTGTATTCATGATCCTCTGGAAGGACGTTGGTGCGTTGTACAGACCGAATGGCATGACAAGATACTCAAAACTGCCATATCGACTCACAAAGGCTGTCTTATGTATATCTGATTCTCTCACTCGGATCTGATGGTAACCTGAGGAGAGATCAATCTTCGTGAAATATTTTGCCCCGTGAAGTCGATCCAACAATTCTTCCACCTTTGGCAGTGGGTACCGATTCTTGACGATTATTTTGTTTACAACCCTGTAGTCAATGCACATCCTCCATTTGCCA